GAGAGAGAGAGAGAGAGAGAGAGAGAGAGAATTTTTAGAAACCGTTAACATTTCTTCTCGATTCACTCGTAATCCACATTTCTGCGTATGATTTGCGTTATGTCTCTTATCGTTATTGGATTTTTGGGAACAATCAGTATTTAGTTTTAAGAAAATACGGTTCCGTTTGCGGTTCGTCGATTCCGCGTTGCTAAAAATCGTCTGGCGCCTTAAACACTCGAAATAAGCATTGAATGAGGTGCTGATTGTTGCTGGAGTCCAGTTTTAGCGTTATGATTTTTGGCGTTGCAGACTTGTCGGATTACGAGAACGAAGATAATCATTTGGCCGTGTTTGGATAATCAAGAATTTTTGGTTAGGGTTTATTGCGTATTTGTTGAGGCCAAAGAAAAATCATTACAAGATATGTTTTTGATAATTCCAGCTGTTAATTCCACTGTAAAAAACGAATGAGCACAATTTACGACAAATTAGAGACCAGGACAAATAATGGATCGCAGAGAGTCATGAATCAGGAAATATAACGTTGAGAATATTTGCGAGCCGAAAACCTCGAAGGTCAAAAGATCTAAAATCCGGGCAGTTACAAGCAGCACAAAGTGTGGGTCCCGGAAGAGTAAAAATCACAATTATCAAGGGCCAACACCTACAAGTGCCAGAAATTGTCTCGTTCCAGATATTCACTCTAGAAAAGCGCTGAATGGTACAGAATTGCCGTGTCACTCAATTATCTTCGAACTCTCTCATTTTTGTCATGTTTTGAAAACGGTGAGATTTTAACTTTGCCCTTGATCCGCTAGACAGGACTATAAATTTTCAATGGAAACCAGGACGCTAAATGCTATCTTTCGACTTCTAATGAGGAACCTCTATATGAGGAAAAGAATTCAAATAAACATCAATGCACAAATTAAAAAATTCAGAGGCACACGGACTCGAACTCAAGTCAGGTATAATCCCATATCTCCAGTTTTCCGGATTTGTGCTCTGCCAATTGAGCTGTCGAGGCCTACTCCGCATACCCGAATTTCAGAACTTGTTCATATCCTGTGTGATTCTCAACCTGTCACTCGTCATTACCGTTTGCCGCCGTATATTCACATCAATGAACGAAAAAATTACTCCGCTTTGAATAATTTCTTTCATTCATTATAGTATCATTCTACGAATGAACGAGCATAGTTTGCCGGTGCTTGCCTGTGTCTGTCTGTGTCTGTCTGTATCTGTCTGTGGCTGCCTGCGTCTATTTCCGATTACATGGCCTCATCGCACATCTTTATCGATTTGACTTGAAAAATTCTGAAGCAAATATTGTCCCCCGAGACTCAAGCAATATTTACATACATTTTTTATATTTCTCTTGTAATTTTTTTCCGTGGAAATTCAATTATTTCGTTATTGGCCTATGCGATCGTTGGCTGACTCTAAGAAAAATAGGCAATCGAAATGTCCGAGTGATAAAAAATCAATTCATATGGACTGAGCCTAATATTTCAACCTCTTTCGCCGGGTCCTCTTTAGGGGCATTTTTTATTGGATTCTGCAACATAAACAGATCAGAAAAATTATAATAGTTGAAACATCTTCAGAATATTATGCACAATCCCGTAAGAAGCTTAAAAATTACATTCATCTAACAGACCAGCGACAGCATATCGCCGCTTATCACCGACATTAACACAGTACGCATGACAAATTTAACCTAAAACAATATTACCACACTTCACAATGGACTGTCCAGCAGGAATTCTCTGTATAATAGAATAAGACTAATTGTGAATAAAACCATTACTTATCATGCTACTTTCCACTTGCTAACGGGCTAGTTCTAACCTAGGGACCCTAGTCTAAATCACATGTTTAACATCAATGGCATGATTGTACCACTACGCATGGCTCAGACGTTCGACTTTTTATTTTATTAGTGGATTGTTGGTTGCGAAAATATTCTTGATATCTGTTCGCGATGGCGAGAAGTAACTGCGCTACGGGCCTGAGATCAATCACGTGATATCCAAAATTCATGGCCAACTCGTGATCAGCTGACCCGCGAGTGGCAGCCGTCAGTTACCTTTACGTGCCCATGTACAACAGAGTAGCTCCGTGAATTAAATCTATTATTCGCGTTCGTTGTCAATACCCAGAGTGTATTAATTAGTTATGTAATTAAATTTTGTTTACATTACATTGTGTTGAATTTATCAAACCCTGCCCGGCACCTCGTGATTGTACAATCCATGGTAAAATGAAATATAAATTCAATTCCGAAAAGTGATATTGAACATGGTCCTTCGAGCCGGATACGCGGGTTACCACGTTAAATAACGACAAGTAATCGGGATTACCTGCTTATTCGCTAGAGAATAATCAGAATTTACCGCTCGACCCCGTCGATAGTGTGCGAAAATCGTGGAACAGAGTGTAGATTCTAACGTGCGACCGAATTACAATGCGTCGACCACGTGCCGAGAATAAATTTCTCCTTCGTAAAAATTGATTGTAATTGAGTACGGTTTAACGGGAACTCACCGCGATAATCGAGGTACTGCAATTAACAATCAGTGCAGAGTGTTTAGAAGAACTTTTTCCAGTAAAATTATCAAATTAATAAACACGTGACCACGTGTGTACATTTGGAAAGTTCCGTGCTATTTCCCCGGTAAACCCCAGAGAGCCTCACCGGTGAAATTCAATTCGCATCGACACTCAGTGCCGTATCACGACCACGTGTGTCACATGCGCAATAAAACACCTGAACAGTGCCGTATACGTATTAACGTCCCTCCGTGCAATTCATCCAATTCAAATTATAAAAATTCAGTGACAGGTGAATAACTGTGAGTGATGGAGATTCGAGCATTTCTGAGCACCCTGGACGTTGTACTGCTCCAATGATGAAGTGACTTTTTCTTTTTTTTCACAGTTGATAATTTCTTCGCGAGTGAAGAAAATAAAAAAAAATGAGTTTATTCGGGTCCGCAGCTGATGCGTCTCTCATCGCCGACGACGATACGTTTGAGGAGACATTAGAAACGCAAACTCGGCGTTTCGATTAGCTGAAACGCGTGGTTTATGGATTTAAACCCTTACCTCATCAGCGTAAGACCTTGAGCGTAGTCAAGATCGCATTGGAACAACTGGACTTATTACCTGGAGATCAAGGTATTGGATAGACGTCTTCACAGATTGGCAACTGAAGAGGAGAAGAAGCCTTCATATTTCATCAACATGGAATTGGCCCAGATGGAAACTCAATATACGCACGATAAGATTATACTTTACGAAACCCTTGAGAAACTAATACCACCTCCGGTGATTCTTCAAGCTCCCGTTGGTGATCACACCCAGGAGGATTCCTTCTTCAAGTTAGAGAAAATTAAAGCCCCGAAATTCAATGGGAATATTTCTAAATGGAATAATTTTAAGGGCATTTATGGCAAACTTGTACACGACAACGCCAACTTAGCGAGCATACAGAAATTCTTTGTTCTTCACGCATGCCTAGAAGGAGAAGCCTTTGAATTGATCGAAAATATCGACGTGACATCAGAAAATTACGCCTCAGCGTGGAAGCTCCTGAATGATCGGTATGATGATGAGAGCAGACTGATTTGGACTCATCTCAAGGACTTATTCAGTATTAGAAAAATGAAAAACGAGACGTCTGATGAGGCACGCTTCATGACCAGACCATTCGTGCTCGCGAGGTACTCGCTAACTTGAAGAGGAAAGTTGAACATTGGGACGACATCCTGGTCTACCTCACCGTCAACAAGATGGACAACGAGACGCGCAAGCATTGGGAGCTCAACATCAACAACGTCGACGCATTCTCAACCTTCACAGCAGTTGCAGACTTCCTCGATGAACGCACCAAACGCTTGGACCGACTCCCTGTCAGTACCACTGCCACGCGCTCAACGAACACGTCATCATTCAAGGTTATGCACGCAATAGCTGATGATAAGGTTGTATGCCCTCATTATAAAGTAAACCATTCATTAACCTCTTGCTTCGAATTTAAAGTTAAATCGGTGACTGTCAAGTGTGAATTCATCAAAACTAATTCCCTTTGTTTTAATTGTCTCCAAGGTAATCATGGCGTCAAGGACTGTGAGCACACTGGTAGGTGCAAAAATTGTAAAAAGAGATACCACACCTTTGGTTGCTCATCACCAGTAAGATCTCCAACTGAGAAGGCTAAGTTCAACGCGTTTCACGCAAAAGTAAACACCAGTGATGAGGAAAATTCCTGTCTAGAGAAACAGAGCGAAACCAGCAGCTCTTCCGATGAAGACGAGGAAACGAGGAACGCAACAGTTTGTCAGAGCAATCAGCTGACCACGTCAATCAACTCCGTACTCCTCGCTATCGCCCGAGTACGCCTACGAACGGTCGAGGGCCGCTCGATCATAGCAACAGCTCTCCTCGACCAAGGATCTAAGTTGTCGTTTATTAGTGAGTCCGCGAGTCAAGCCCTACGTGCTCCAAGAATCAAGGTCAACATCTCCATTTCGGGAGTTAATGGAAATAAAACAGCTTCCTGTAAGGCAGCGATATCATGCGCAATAGAACCTCATGACGCAAAGGTTCTATCACGTCCTCTCATCGCCCATGTGCTGCCCAAGCTGGCTTCGTACGCACCACGACGAGAACCCACGGAGTCACATGGCATCATGTGCGTGGACTGAAATTCACAGATCCCAACCCCACTGATGACGAGAAAATTAAGTTGATCATTGGCATGGATCTCTACCCGGCCATCATCCTGGAAGGAATACGAAAAGGATCAATTGGCACACCCATGGCACAAGAGACAATTTTCGGATGGGTAGTTTCTGGGCCACAAACTACTACACAAGCTCAGGACCAGCAAGTATACGCGTCAGTGAATTACTGCATAATCAGAGAGCCACTGGACGACTTGATCCGCAAATTCTGGGAACTGGAGGAGCTCTCAGTCTCCGCTAGCCTGAGTAAAGAAGATCAGGAGTGCGAGGACCACTTCAAGGCTACCTACACGCGAGACAAGAGTGGAAGGCATTCAGTACATCTCCCACTGAAGAGCGCGCTACCTCTCGACATTGGAGAATCATACAGCATCGCAAGGAAGTGTCTCGAGAGACAGAGAAAACGCTTCCGAGCCACACCGCAACACCAAGCCGAATACGACAAGTTTCTTCAAGAGTATTTGGAGCTGGGGCAAATGTCATTGTCACCAAGCAGAGATAAACCAGGCCAAAAACCAGTGTACTTCCCACCCCATGCAGTTCTTCGAGAAGACAGCACGACCTCACCGATCAGAGTCGTTTCCAACGCGTCTAGCCGAACGACAAACGGATCGACACTCAACAATCACCTCCACGTCGGACCTCAGCTGCTGCCCGACCTGCTGGACGTCATCCTGAAGTGGAGAATGCACGCAGTCGTCTTTCGCGCCGACATTGATAAAATGTTCAGACAAATTCTCATGACTCCTGAGGATAGACACCTCCAGAGAATTCCATGGCAACCATCAGGCTCCAAGGAAGTGAAATCATATGACCTGCGAACAGTGACGTATGGCACAGCACCAGCTCCGTACCTACCCAATCGCACGTTGAGACAACTGGCAGTGGATGAACGCCGCAGATTCCCTCGAGCAGCCGCGATCCTCGAGAATGATTTCTACGTTGACGACGTACTGACTGGAGCATCATCAGTCCAGGAAGCCAGAGGGATTCAGGAGGAATTGCAGTTGTTGTTACGTTCCGGAGGAATGAACTTGAGGAAACGGGCATCTAGTCATCCCGAGAGTCTCGCGTCAGTCCCACATCAGGCATTAGCACGCGATTTAACCTCAGAACTAGATCAGAAGGAGACAGTGAAGGTTCTCGGTGTTCAATGGAACCTAAACCTCGACGCATTCAAGTTCTCGGTAGCAGCAGACAACCCGAGCAAAGCGACAAACGCGGAATCCTCTCCACAGTCGCTAGAATCTTTGGTCCCGCGGGCTGGCTAATACCGACGACAATCTGCGCCAAAATGCTCATTCAAGAGCAGTGGCTACTTGGAATGGACTGGGACGAGGAAGTGCTTGAAGCAATACGCAACCGATGGGAAATGTTCCAGACACAACTAACTCTCCTTCAAGAGATCAATATTGACAGGTACGTCGGCTGTACCCAAGAACCACAGAAAATGGTTTTGTGATGCATCGATGCAAGCATACCCTGCCGCAGTTTACCTGCGAGTCACCGGAGACAACGACAAGCCTACAGATATCAAGCTAGTCCTCGGAAAATCCAAGGTTGCCCCAATACAACACCAAACAGTAGCGAAATTGGAATTATGCGCTGCACACCTACTGGCCCGAGTGCTAGAGAGAGTCAAGAACTCAATGAAACTGGACACAGTATCCATGTACGCCTGGAGTGATTCATAAATCGTCCTTGCATGGCTACAGAAGCATTCATCACACTGGCCGACCTTCGTCGCGAATCGAGTGTTTGACATTCAAACGCGAGTTCCAACGGCAAACTGGCGCCACGTGCCAACTTCATCAAACTCAGCAGATTGTGCCTCACGCGGAGGACTGCCAGCTGAACTATTTGCCCACAAGCTCTGGTGAAGTGGGCAAAGTAATAATCCACTCATTCAAACAGTTACAGATGAGACCATAACTCTCATCGGTTGCACCGCGAGTCACAACATCCAGGTGATTGATGACCACACGACTAGAGGGATAGCAAACCTCCCTTTTCGAGCATCATCATGGCAAAAAGTTCTCGGGATCACTGCTTGCTGTCTGAAATTCCTTAACAGACCACACAATCAACCAACATTATCGCGCAAAGCATCATTGGAGAAGGCACATGACTTCTGGATCCGCCAGGTACAAGCCGATGCCTTTGCAAAATGATTGGAATTATTACAGAAGGGACAACCGCTCTCCCAGAAGGATGAACTTCTACGTCACCACCCTGCTGTGGACCCCAAGGGCATCATAAGAGTGAACGGTCGCATCGCCAGGGCTGCAATCTTGTATGATGAAAAACACCCCATCATACTACCAGCAGGGAGAATCACCGACTTCATCATTAATGACACGCATCACCGAACGTTCCATGGCGGACTCCAGCTAACACTCAGTACGTTGAGACAACGATACTGGGTCATCAACGCAAGACGACTCGTGAAAAGCCACAACCACAAATGCGTAAAGTGCATTAGATTCGATGGAAAGACAGCACATCAAATTATGGCAGCACTGCCACCTCCACGCGTGACTCCATCTCCGCCATTCACCCACCCAGGGATGGATTATGTTGGGTCAGTGAACGTGCGCACCACCGAAGGCCGAAGACATAAGGCATACAAGGGCTATATTGCACTCTTCGTGTGTCTGGCTACCCGAGCAATACACCTTGAATTAGTATCCGACTACTCCACCAAGAAGTTCCTGGCTGCATTAGACCGCTTAGCATCGCGCCGAGCGCTCCCATCTGATCTTTACAGCGACAACGGGACCAATTTCCAAGGAGCAGGGCGCGCACTACCCGAGAAAATGGACCAACTCCAACAGAATGAGGAGCTGAGAAGCTCAGCGCACTTTGGTGAATTATGGGAAGCAGGAGTGAAATCAGTAAATCAGTAATCAGTCTTGCTGAAAAGACTCCTGGACGAGTGTACACCAACATTCGAGGAATGGACTCCTGTGTAAAATTGATTGTAACCTGAACTCGAGACCCATCGCACTCCTCCATGATGACCCCGACGACATCGCCCCATTAACCCCTGGGCATCTGTTGACAGGAAGACCTCTGAATGCATTACCAGCAGACTCAACGCTGGACCTGAATGTCAACAGAATTTCTCGATGGGAATTCATCCAATACATTAACGAGAACTTCTGGAGTCGATGGCGTCACGAATACCTCTACGCGCCGCAAACTCGTCAGAAGTTGAAGACAGACCAGCAAAACTTCAAAATCGATGACGTCGTACTTATTCAGGACTTGCCAACTCCTCCCAACCAATGGCCATTGGCACGAGTCATAGAAGTTTACCCAGACGAGGATGGAACGGTTAGATCGGTGAAACTCAGGACGAGCACCTCTACATACATGCGTCCCATCGTGAAGCGAATCCCCCTGCGCGTGGGAGATGCCATGGTGGACGGTGAACCGCCCTTCACGAAATGAAAAATTGTCGTTGACAAAATTAATCCGTTGAAGATTGTTTCAGAGTACAGAGCTGCTTCGTTCTGATAAAGGAGAATGAGACGGGCGGTATGTTCGCGATTGCGAGAAGTAACTACGCTACGGGCCTGAGATCAATCACGTGATCTCCAAAATTCATGGCCAACTCGTGATCAGCTGCCCGCGAGTGCCAGCCGGCAGTTACCTTTACGTGCCCATGTACAACAGAATAGCTCCGTGAATTAAATCTATTATTCGCGTTCGTTGTTAATACCTAGAGTGTATTAATTAGTTATGCAATTAAATATTGTTTACATTACATTGTGTTGAATTTATCAAACCCTGCTCGGCACCTCGTGATTGTACAATCCGTGGTAAAAATAAATATAAATTCAATTCCTAAAAATGATATTGAACAATGTCAGTCCTAAAGTTAATGCTGGAGTTGATATTTTTCTTGATGTGAAACATTTCCACGAAATTCCTCTCAGACTTGTTTCTCGTAGAATCTATAATCTTTGCGTCATCAAAATTAAATTTATAATTCTCTTCCTGCGCATGTTTGGTCAGAGCCGTGCGACCATTTCTGGCCTCCAGACCAGTGCAATATTTATGTCTAAAAATCCTATCCTTTAAGTAGACACCAGTCTGACCCACATAAGTTGAGTCATAATCCGAACAGTCACTTTTGTATATCAGATTTGATTTCAATTGGGGATCTGTTTTATCTTTAGTAGAGCCGAAACGAGGAGCCAGTTTATTTGAAACCTTCGAGACCAAGCCAACCACAAATCTACCGAATAATCTACTTAGCTTTGCAGACACTCTACAAGAGAACGGGAAAACAAAGGAGTTCTTCTCATCCTCCTTGATTCCTTTTTCATTCATGTAGATCCTAGGGAAGTTATTCAACCGTAACATCCTAAGCATTTGATTCACGTGGTGATTGACACAGTCAAGTGGAGACCCATTCATTAGAAGAATTCGATGGACAAATACTAAATTCTTTTTGATGAACGTATCGTCGGACAACTTCACAATGCGATCTACCAAGTTAAGAATGACTGCAACTTTCTGTGTCATCCAATGATGATAGCGAAAATTGAGAAGTCGCCCAGAGATAGTCGGCTGTATGTACCAGTCAAACTGCGACCTGTTCCTCTCCCTAATGATCAGCAGATCAAGGAAAGGTATATTTCCTTCCAACTCAGTTCCATAGGTGAATTGCAGGCGAGAGTGACAAGCGTTGAATTCATAGAGCATGAGTTGAATTTTGTTTTTTGGGACACACGTGATGACATTATCAACGTAACGATAGAAAAAAGGTGAGGCAAAGTCTAATTGGCTGAGGGAATGTGACTCCAACTCCTGCATCATCAAATCACCACAGACAGGAGCTAGAGGAGGACTCAGGTGTAAACCAAAGTGCTGCTTGAAAAACTGTCAATTGAATTGAAAGTATGTATTACGCATAACAATCTCAACAGCCTTCAGAATCTCTGAGATTGGTATAGCGCCCGTGACTACCAGTCGACTTGTCCATTTTCACTCTCATCATCCGATGACACAGAAAGTTACAGTCATTCTCAACTTGGTAGATTGCATTATGCAGTCGTTCGACGATAAGTTCATCAAAAAGAATTTAGTATTTGCCCGTCGAATTCTTCTAATGAATAGGTATCCACTTGACTTTGTCAATCACCACATGAATCATAGGCTTAGGAAGTTACGGTTGCATAACTTTCCTAGGATCTACACGAGTGGAAAAGAAATCAAGGAGGATGAGAAGAAATCCTTGGTTTTGCCATTCTCTTGTAGAGTATAAAGCTAAGTAGATTTTCGGTAGATTTGGGGTTGCCTTGGTCTCGAAGGTTTCAAATAAATTGGCTTCTCTTTTTGGCTCTAATAAAGATAAAATGAATCCTCACTTGAAATCAAATCTGATATACAAAATTGACTGCTCAGATTGTGGCTTCACTGGTGTTTACTTAAAGGATAGGATTGATAGACATAAATATTGCATTGGACTGGAGGCCAGAAATGGTCGCACGGCTCTGACCAAACATGCGCAGGAGGAAAATGATGAATTTAATTTTGATGACACAAAGATTATAGATTTTGAGAGACACAAGTCTAAGGGAAATTTCGTGGAAATGTTTCACATCAAGAAAAATATTAACTCCAGCATTAACTTCAAGACTGACATAAAGAATCGTTCCGCAACCTACAATCCACTAATAAAATAAAAATATCCAAAGGTCTTAGCTATGCGTGGTTGTATGATCGCGCCATTTATGTTGAACATGTGATTTGGAATAGGGTCCCTAGGTTAGAACTAGCCCATTAGCAAGTGGAGCGTACCATGGTAGGTAATGGTTTTGTTTACTTACAATTAGTTTTGTTCTGTTTCACAGGGAATTCTGCTGGACAGTCTATTTTTGACACTGAGCAATAACTCGAATGATTTTTTATTAGATGTTGTTCTGAGGCGTGCTTCTTGCTCTAGTATTTCAAATGTAATAACTAATAACTGAAGTATGATGATATTGTTTTAGGTTAAACCTGTCATGCGAACCGTCTTAATGTCGGTGGCAAGCGGCAATATGCTGTCGCTTATCTGTTAGGTAAACGGAATTTTTAAGCTTTCTACAAGATTGTGCATAATATTCTGAAGATTTTTTAACTATTATATTTTTTCTGATCTGTTTGTCTTGTAGAATTTGATAAAAAAAATGCCCCTGAAGAGGACCCCGCAAAGGTGCTACAAATATTGGGCTTAGTCCATATGAATTTATTTTTTATCACTTGGACATTTCAATTC